TATCCGGGGCATCGGGTAGGCATCAGACAATGTTTTGTCATTTAGCCTCCGGTAGTCAACACAGAAACATGTCGTGCCATCCTTCTTGGGTACTAGCACTACCGGTGATGCCCAGGGGCTATTGGAATGTTCGATAACCCCTAGCTGCAACATCTCCTCAATTTCCTTCCGTATCTGTTCCCTGACTGCTTCAGGGATACGATATGGGGTCTGCCGCATCGGTAGCTGTCCTGGGGTCTCTACCCTGTAAGTGGCTAGTGGGGTGTACCCTGGTAAATTGGAGAAAGTGGCTCCCTTAGCCGCAATTAACCTGGACACGCTCCTAAGGACTTAGCCTCTCCCCCAGCTGAACACCTGCGGAGTTCTCTGCCTGATCCTCACTCTCTAATAAATTGGGTAGCGGAAGATTCTCCTTATCCTCAGAAGCTGATGCGCATATAGCTGCCACATCCTCTATCCTCTCATGGTAGGGTTTGAGCATATTCATGTGGAGCATGCGTCTCTTCCCAACCCCTGAACAGGGGCCAATCACATTGGTGGTGTCACATCTCTGTTCCACCACCTGATATGGGCCTTGCCAGATGGCCTGCAGCTTGTCATTGCAGACAGGTTTTAATAACAAAACTTTCTGTCCCACTTGAGTGCTGCGGTCCCTGGCTCCCCTATCTTACCATTGGCGCTGCTGTTGTTGGGCCACCTGGAGGTTTACCCGTACGGTCTGGGTTAGTGCCTCCAAGCGGTCCCTGAACTCCAGCACGTAAGGTACAATGGGTATCCCATCTGCACAGCTTTCCCCTTCCCAATGCTCTCTAATTAAATCTATGGGTCCTCTCACCCTTCTCCCAAACAGTAATTCAAAGGGGGAAAACCCGGTGGACTCTTGAGGTACCTCTCTGTAGGCGAACAGCAGATGGGGTAAGAATCGCTCCCAGTCCTTATGGGCCTCTCAAAATGTACGGAGCATCTGCTTTAAAGTTCCATTGAACCTTTCACATAACCCATTGGACTGAGGATGGTAAGCCGAATTCACAATAGGCTTAATGCCACATATTTTCCAGAGTTGGTGGGTTACTTCGTCTGTGAATTGCGTACCCCTATCTGAGATTATCTCCTGTGGGAACCCTACCTGGGAAAAGACTTTCATTAAGGCTTCTGCCAACGTCTCTGCGTGAATATTGGAGAGGGATACTGCCTCGGGGTACCTGGTGGTGTAATCAACCACGGTCAAGATGTACTTCTTGCTGGAGGGACTGGGTTTGGGTAAGGGTCCTACTATATCTACCACCACCCTACTAAATGGCTCTTCTATGATGGGTAGCGGGCATAATTTAGCCTTGTGTCAGTCACCCCTTTTGCCTACTCTCTGACAGATGTCGCATGTCTGGCAGTATTGCCTCACATCCTTAGATATACCTGGCCCGAAGAATGCATGGGTCTAGTTCGGGTCATACCCAGATGCCCAGACAACGGAATGTCATGAGCAATCCTAAGGAGTTCCTGTCGATATTTCTGGGGTACTAGTTGTCTAGTAGTAACATTTACAGATCCCCCCACCACCCTTTAAGCAATACGATAGAATAACCCCTTTAACCAAGCATACCGCTCCCCCTCTAACCCTGCCTGATTCGAAGTCACCCGAGGTCATACACTTTCAACCTAGGGTCTACCTTAACCTCTGCCCCAAATTCAGTCGGGCTATCCCAGGGAACACGAGTCATAGGGGGTACATTGTCTCTTACCTGAGCCTCAGAGTGTGTGGATGAAGCCGCGGTGTGAGCCTGTTGTCTTGTGGTTACCGGGTACGCCTCTTGGAGCGGGGCTTGAGGTACAAAAGCGGAAGTCATTCTGCCCAGGTCGTTTCCCAATACGACATCTGCTGGCAGTTTTTGCATCAGGCCCACCTCTACCATCCCTTCCCCCACACCCAATTCAAGTGTACTTTTGCTGTTGGCAATCGGTACATCGCTCCCCCTGCTACTCGGACTGCCACAGATCCGCCTGTGTGCTCCGAGCCTGGAGCCAATGGCTCCATGCTTGATGGCTCCGGTTCTGCGTACATTCTCTCGCCACGTGGCCCCATTGCTTGCAGGTATGGCACTGAATGATAGATCGGCCATTGTATCGGGACGGTGGAGTTTGCCCCCCAGTTGCTGGCCGGAATGGTGCTGTTGTGGGTGCGGTAGTAGTAGCTGTAGGAGGCTGGGTGGAGGGTCGAGGATGCCCTCGATTGAGGTTACCATAATGTCTCCTGGCGTCATAGTGCTGGTCCGCCAGTCGTGCAGCTTCTGTTAGGTTGAGGGGTTTTCTGTCTCTCACCAATTCTTGTGCCTCTGGTGTCAGACCATTGAAAAACTGCTCCCACAATAGCAGTTGCGTAACTCCTCCATGGTGGTAGCTTGGGAGGCTTGATCAAGCTTGTGTGCCCACTCTGCGTGGGAGTCTTTATCCGGTTTGCGCAGTCCTCTAAACTTGCGCCGGTATGCCTCCGGGGTAATGGCATATCTCTCCAATATTGCTTGTTTTACCATGGTGTAATTTTTGCTGTCCTCTCTGGGTACGTCCCAGTATGCTTCTGCTGCGCGACCGGATAATTCGCCTGCCAGTAAAGGTACCCACACTGCCTGCTCCAGATCATGCAGGTCACACAGTCTTTCAAAATCCTGTAGATACCCATCAATCTCATCTTTGTCTTCACAAAACATTTTAAAAGCATGATGCGGTATCTTGGGCTTTACCTGGCTGGTGATTGAAGCAGCAGTAGATTCTGCTCTGGAGGGTAAATCCTGCGGTCTGTGTGCCATCATATACTCCTGCACATCCGCCATCAGTACCGTCAGCATTTCCAGAGGGACTGGATGGGGTAAGAATTCCAGCCTGGTCCTCATCTCTTTCTGGAATGGGGTCTCTTCCATGTCTGGTGGAGGTGTAGTGCTGCGAGCTCTGTCTCCCTCCATCAGTTCGGCAATAAATACAGTGTGATGAGACCAATCTCGCCACATTGCATTGGAGAAGCCTGGTTGCTCGCCTGTTGCCTTTGGACTATGGCCCCATGTTAAAAGCCTTCTTTTCCCCTGCAGAAAAGGCTTATTTAACCGGATGCCTGTTCACCCGTATGAACAGCATTACCCCAGATAGCCATCCCGTGGAGTCTATTCGTATGGAGAACAGACTTTCTGAACACTTTAACTCCACGGCAATTGGACTGTGCGCATAGGATCTGAGCGCTATTCAGTATTTTTGTGCGCTCAGATCTAAGCTATCTGGGGATAGGTAGAATGTATATTTTTTGTGCAACAGTTGTAACTTTATAAATTTTTATGTCTTTTACTGTCTTTTACTGCCATGTGGTTAATGGAGTTTTGCCTCTGTCCTGGGAGATAATTGGATTACTTCATTGTGGGGATGTTTTAACTCTGTGTGTCTGTCATTGGTTCATGTCTGTCCTTTGTCACAGTCTCCCATTTGGTCCCCTAGGGGAGTGTCCACCAGATTGGAGACCTGCATAAATACTGGGCAGGTAGCCCTCATTAAACCAGACCACTGCTTGACCCTCAACACGGAGCTCTGTCTCATCTTTGGGGGGACTTACTGTATGCTGTTAGAGACTGATTGCCAAGAGTGTAAGCAGCTTGGGTACTTTTCCTGTTCGTCTGCTAGCAG